TTATATCATTCATGCTACAGTTAATTAAACAATAGTTCGATCCTAAGTGAATGTGTGGCTCATGGATGGGAACCAGTTCTCGTCGTGAAAATTATTTTTATAGTCACAATCTCTTACCGTTTTTGCTTGAATTGCTCAACCATATACAGAAATTACTACCTTTTCATAGGAGTAATCAAGATGGGGACACTGGCATATCTATAGATATAAAATCGTAGGACAATCAGAGAAAGCGAAATGCCGAAGCAAGCATCAGCATAACCGACAAAGCTATGCCTAGCCATATTAATAGCTCTGTGACGAAGAAAAGCATTGAGATAGTTGTTTGAAAGCAAAGGAGACTTTAAATAGAAAAGGCAGCCGTCTAAGCGCTGCTAACTACATTAATGACACTGAAATGCTGTGCATTATGAAGGAAATTTCAAGCGGATTCTAAACGAGTTGTAAGCGAATGAAAGAACAAATCCGTTCCACGTCATATTTGAAACCATTCCATTCGTTTCAAAGCACTTTTTGCCTGAAGAGACTGTGAGCGCGAGAAATTTTCTTAAATTAGGTTTCATTTGCAAAATGACTGGCAAAAAGGAGTACAGCATAGACATGCACACTTTATATAGCGCGAAGAATGTTACTCAGCAAAATATGAGGAACGAGGTAGTAAAATTCTTAAAGATAACTCAGGGACCAGTTTTCGCATAGTCTGTCTCAATTGTCTAAAATTATAGGTAAGGGTCAAATAGTGCGCTTTCGAAGTTTGAAGGTAATATTTCAATAATTCTTAATTAAACAGGTGAAACAGGCCCCTGTCCTTCATGAGATAAGAGAGAAATTTTATTCTTAAGCAAATTTTTTCCCAAGTAACAACATTTACAAGAAAAAGAAAAGAAGAGGTAAGCGTTTTAGGCAGAGGTTGCTCCTGAGGACCGGACATATTGTTTCCAAGACCTCTAAAGAAAGTATATATGTGTACATATATAGATGGGTTTTTCTTCTTTTACAAACAATCTCCTGCAAGATTTCTTGCAGCCTATTATATCCTTAATTAGTGGCATGCTTAATTACCTCAAGAAATGATACATTAGCCGACTAACATTAACACTGAACAAAAGAAAAAATAGCAAATGCAGACTGATATTGTACGGATAGAAAGTTAGTTGTAATTTCAGACATGTACGAGATATGGGGGCAAAAGGTTGACACGAGAAGACCTTCAGTTTTACGATCTCATTGCAACATTTCGTCTCACAAGTCTGCGTTTGTCGTAAATGTTTATGGCTATCGTAGTGCGTAAACATATCACCGTAACTGAGGAAGCATAAGGGACTATTGCCCTTAAGCACAAGCTTCCTTCTGTTAGCTTCTTTTGCATCTGTGAAACAATATATATAGGTGATTAACAATTTAGTATGATAGG